AAAAAGCCGGACAACCTCTCAATATAGGTCAAAATGAAGCAAAATGTCGTAACGCATAAGCCGCTAGTACACTAACCAACAACCACGCAACGAGCGTTTTAGCGGTGAGTCTGGTGCGGTCGTCTCTACGCATCCATCTGCCGGCATACCGAGAGTACCTTTTACATAGCTCGTTTTATTGTTCTTATCAACATGAACGACAACAACCAGGCCGACACGGACGCGTTTTTTAGCGGTTCGAAGTCTGTCGCGGGTCGGGAAAGTTACTAAAAAAACTACGGAGCATCACACTGCCCGGCAATACCGAAGAGGACCTTTACATACGCTCGTTTATTCGTCCTCTTAACTTCCCCCAGAGGGCAATTGAAGGACCGCATAAGTAAAGATAGGTAGTCGTAAAGATATTGGTTTGAAGGAGCGGGAAGAGAGATGCCTCGACTGAGGGACTGATGAGGGTACCTCTCGGTGGTTCGCTTCTGGGTACTCTTGAGGAACATAAAAAGAGCGTGCGTCTGCCTCTGCCCGGATTCCGAGACGACCTGAGCTCTCTGTGCTGCTCGCTGCTCGGACCCCAACGTCCTTCTTACTGTAGTAGTCGACACTCAGTACGGGACCCGAGCTACTGAGTGTCTTTGCCGTTTTTTTTTTCGGAAAGACACCAAAGATTTGGAAGCGAGGACTTAGACTATGTCGAACATGAAAGGTAGAAAGCGGAAGTCTATGTAGACGTCTTCCTACTTGTGACAACCCAACCTCTCGATTTACCGGATTCTCCACAAACCCCAAAAAAGAATTCGTAGTCGTGGCACAACTTAGAGAAACAAAGATATATGACAATTCGATCGAATAACCTCGTAAAAGATAACGTAATACAGTCGGTCCAAACCAAAGGTCGCTTCAAACACCTCTAGGATTCTACTTTCTTCGTTTTCTCCATAGCCTTAGTCAATCTAATGGGCGAGCATTGCTCTTCCTACAAAAATACGAATGAAAATCTGCTCAAAAATTACAATTCGAGGTACAACAAGGAAGGAAGACGAGTGGAAGTCATAGGATTTTATAGATAGACTAAAAAACGAGAAACACAGACAGGAATCATGAGTAATTGTCCGCTACTGAGACACTGCCTCCGTCACTGCCTGCGACCCGCGGCCGTTTCACCCACTGTCTCTGCCACCTCCCTCCATGCCTGGTTCCTCCGGTTTGTATCCCGGTAAATAGTTCTGGTCGTAAAGAACCGGGTGATTTGCTACCGTAATATCTCGTTTGGAATATGAGGAAATTAACTGCGGTCTGGCTCTCCCAGCTTGCACGCGGTTTGATTGGCTGCGCTTGCACTGGCGGGATTTGCATAAAATTTGATTGGCTGATGCCAAGCATCGAGCCTCAAAAGTTGAACATTGTTCAACTTTTGATGCCGATAGATGCTCGTGATGCTTGCAAAGCCATGCTCCGCTCCCCACAATGCAGTTCGGCGAAGATTAAAAATCTTCTACGTCACCCCATTCAAGGGAATGGGCGAAGCGTTGAAAGCATTTTTCGATGCTTGTAGTGTAGACGGGCCGTAAAACATACACACTGTCCCTGTGCTGCAGTGTGAGAACTCACAGCGCTGGAGTGCCGAGGGTCCAGACAGTGAAAGTGCTCTGCAGTGCGGGTGATGGCCTCTCGTAAGGCTGCCACCAGCTCTGTCTGCTTGATGTTCTTGGACTTCAGGGCCTCTGCTTCATCCTCCCCGAACAGCAGGGAGCTCAGAGTGGACTTCCTGCGCAGAGACTGTCTCCTCACCGCCTGAACACATAAACACAGGATTGTTAGAAAAAAAAATGTTTTAAAGTCAAGATTAAGGACACATAGACTTAATTTGCTCAGATCATGCGACTCCAGTTCGCACAGCTAGACACAAACTTGACGTTGCTTGTTTATTCTATAATAGTTATTCATATTACATACAGACTGAATCTGACCTTGTTGAGATTGGTGTTGTATGTTGTGTTGTTTCCATTGCTGAGCTGCGCCTGTTCGTTGAGGATGTAGGCTTGGTGCTTGTGCCGGTGAGCTTCCAGTGTTTCCTGGGTTAGCGACCCTGCTAGCCTCATAGCCTCCCCGAGAACTGCGGGCCCATCTCGCAGCTGGCTCGGCAGGTCCGACAGAGTGTTAAAGATGGACGCAGAGTTCTCTGACGATACAAGCTCCTCCTCCTGGGAATGAAGAGTAAAATATTCAAGCATCAATAATCAACAAAAACTGTCATTTTGAGGAAGAGACACAGAATAGTTGGTGTTAGATGTTGTTTTCTGGCATTACACAGTACGTGTGTCTGTTGGCAGACTTGGCTGTAAGATTATCTTCTATTTAAGAAAATCAAGTAGGTTACTGACCACACTGAGTGACAGAAAGCCTCTCAGCACAATATTAACTGATGTAAACTCACAAAAACAAGCAGTTTAGTGCAATTACCTTAATCTTGAGCATGCCCAGTGTGATCTGAAAGAGAATCAACGAGCCCTGGTAGAAGAGTAAGTCCCAGATCCTTAGGAGCAGACGGATGTCCACCACGCTGGCAAATGAGGTCAGGAACCAGTGAAGTGTGATCAGTGACAACTCTGCATGTAAAGAAGGAAGGATTACAAACTGTATGTTATATGCAGTTTATACTCAGCTCTATGTTCCAAACACCAATTCTATCATAAGATCGAGTTCCCAAACAATTTGCTTTTTCAATTTAGGTTCAGCAGAAGGATAAAAGATTGGAGTAACTGTTGCAGTTTTAGTAGTTAGTATGCATTTTGAATGCCCATGTTGCCTCTCTGACTCAACACCACACCCCCTACCTATGTCATGCTCCTGCAGAAGACGGTCGAGGGCCGGCAGGTACTGAACGATGAGCTGGCGGAGAACCCTCTGGTCTGTTTGGACACCCAGCAGAGTGGAGCTAAAGTAGGCTGGAGGGAGGAGGTCTTCGATCAGGGCACACATCATCCATAGAACATCCTCCTCCTCCAGAAAGAGCAGCAGACAAGAAACCACCTGTGGGGGTGAACACATAAGTGTCAGGACAACGACAAGGGTATCAGTGAAGGTGGAGACAGTAAAAAATAGGACGAGGACACAATGTATAACATTTGATGAAGGTGCTTCCTACAACTGTGTGTCTATTATATGAGTGTAATGTAGTCTTTCTGTATAATGTGTTCTCACCATGCCGGTGCCCTGACAGTACCCGATGTCTGGGTAGAGCCAGGCCAGGGCTCTCAGTACCCGCTTCAGCCTCGGCACTCCTACACTGCTCATGCTACAGAAACACGCGTTGGTTGGCATCGTCCGCAACAGGTCCTTGTCTATCTGAGGGACAGAGGGGAACACAGAACAATCACACTTCAGGAAAGAAACATGTCTTACAAACGACATGTCACGTGTTAAATACATAATACAAAATATACATTTAATTTCAATATGCCAATAACGATTATTTAGTTGTATTTAAGTAGCCGTTTTCCAACTTTAAATAATTATTACGCATGATCTCAAGAACTATGCTTGGTAGGAATTCTGCAATGGGTTTGTGTTTGGTGAGGGGTAATTAGATTGTGGTTTTACCTGTTTAGAAGTGCTGGAGTCGTCATTGGAACTGTTCTTAATGATTTCTCTGTAAGAGATCTCAGAGGTCCTTTTCTTCTGCAGCGCTCCAGCCAGGCGCATCCACAGCTAACAAACAAAGCATCTTTACATCACTGTTTTGTGACTTTGGAGATAACAAACATGTAATACTCATCTGGAGCATTCTAGTGAAAACTATTTATTTTTTACATCAAAAATGGACAGGCTAAATGTGTAGCACTTCCAATTAAACAGTTGTCCCTGCTGAGCCCCTGTCCCTACCTGTGGTCTCATGCTGTGAGGGATACCCCCCAGCACCAGGGAACGCAGCCGCTCAGAGCGCGAGAGGACAGGATCAATCAGATCCCAGGTCAGGTCTCCCACAGTGTGGTTGTGGGTAAACTCTAGGTGGGCTTGCCAGCGCAGTCGCTGCTGGGGGTCTTCACGCTGGGGGGAGCCTTCAGTGCCAAGCCTGGACCTGGGCTTCCCATCATCTGTGAGGAGAGAGTAATATATGGGGGTGAGCAGTGTTCTCTGTAAACATAATATTATTAAAGTAAAGCCCCGTCAAACTCTTGAATTGAGGAATGGGAAAATAATATCAGGTATAACTTTAAAGGTCACCTATCGTGCTACTTTTAGGCAATAGCATAGGACTCAGATCTAAAAATATATAAAAAACATGTCTATCAAATATATTTTGCTCAGAATACCAAACAGATCACCCATTCTAGCCATGCCTCATATCCCTCTATTTCACTTCCTGTTTCAAAAGTGCTGCTTTGGGGTATAAAGCTTTAAAAAAAAAAAAAGTGATCAAAAAAGAAAAGGAGGGGGAGATCATGCTCATGCGGGAGATTCTGTCGGCAGATACTGCCGTGATGAAACGCCATATCATGGATTATCAAGGATTATTTCTGAAACAGTATGGAGCTCAAAGGCTTTCTCTCTTGCCGGTTATACCACAAGGTAGGGGTGCACCGAATGGGAAATTCTTGGCCGAAACCGATACCGAAAATAGGAAACAGTTGGCCGAAAACCGAATGTTGAAAGGCCGAAAATGATTAATAGACATATATATATATATAATGTATACATTTTTTACCAATGTTGTTCAGCTACCTGATTATGGAAAAAGACATGATTATGGCAAAACTTAACTTAAATAATAATCACTATTATGGGTCCATAAAACATTTATTCAGCACTTTTGAATTCATACAGTACATTAATTCCAAGTCAAGTGCATTTTCTTTTCTCTGTAGGATAATTACAACAAAGTGCATTCAGAACAAAGCCACGGTGCTTTAAAACTGCATAAACATCTAGGCCAGTAGGCCTACAACAAAATAGTGTAAATAAAGACTGTAACAGCCAGGCCTTCAACAACAACAAATGCACCTATAAGTTTGGAAACCTAACGTGTTGTTGTGATGACGTAATCAAAACGCGGCGACAAGCACAGCGCGCGACCATGCTCGCGGCTGGCTCACAGCCAACATGTCTGCCGCTTGGAGATATTTCAAAATATCAGAGAAAGAGATTGCGATTTGTAAAACGTGTTCCGCTGACATTTCTCAGGGGGTGTAACTGCAAAGACTTTCACCACTTCGGCACACAACGCCTCGACATATGACCCTTTTCCAGCAGCTCACCACAGACCCTGGCACGACTGCCAGCAGTGTATTGTAAACTTCAGTCGCACAATTTATATTTTCTTAAAAATAAAAATATTACCAGCAATATATATTATGCCTTTTTAAAGTCGTTCTAATGGGATTTTTTTACCATTTTTTTACCATCACTTGAAATCAAAACACCCGGACAAATATGCGGAGTATGATCAACGTAACCCTGTTCTCTGACATTCGGTGATATTTTTTTTCATTTCGGATAATTTTCGGTGGCCGAATATTCGGTGCATCCCTACCACAAGGTGAGTTCCTTTGTATTTCCTGCTTCTTCACACACATGCTCTCTCCAGTACAGGTTAGCTCTGAGTGTTAGCGATGCTAATGTAAGCACCAACCATATTACATCCAAAACAGTCGGGCATTGTTTCTGATAGCAACGTTTCTGATTGGGCCGTGGGTGTAAAGCCAGCCTACATTTCTGATATTACGTCAAATCGGACGCAAATCTGGATCAGCTCCGTTGTAGCCCCGTTTTTAGAGATTTGGGTACGCAGGAAAAGAGAGAGGGTTTTGTATTCTGACGCTGCGTGAGTTCCCTGACACACCGGGGATACATCTCTTTCGACTCCACTTCGAGCAATACAATTACTAACAAAGCACTTATATATTAACAAAGGACTGGCTTATCTATAGCCAGCTGAGTAGCACTTGAAATGTTTTGGCTCTATGAAACCTGATGTACTTATATGATTCTGTTTTCTTCTAGTTTGTATCTTCTTGGTCGAATGCACTGGGGCACCGTAAGTCGCTTTGGATAAAACTGCAGCTAAATGTAATGTAATGAAAAGAGAGAAGGAGGGACTTTGTTTTCTCATGGCCATATGACTGCTGTACTAACCAGAGGCTAGTTACTTTATTTAACTGTGTGTGTGTTCTCGGGGACATCATAAAAGACATCAAAAAGTGCATTTTGCATGATAGGTCCCCTTTAATGTAACCAAACAGAGGGATATGGAAGGAAAGGAAGGGAAGTGAGTCAGGGGAAAGTTATGTTGATAAGAGATAAGTGGTTGAATAACAAAGGCAAAAATAGACCTCCCTTTATAGAAGTTTAAATGGTACAAAACATTTTCCCCTCCCAGGCATAAAAGACAAAAGTTGCACTCATAAATGCATTTGAGTAAATAATGTAGCTACTGTGTGTATTGTGTGTTTTACTGGGATTTAGGAATTTTACAAGTGAGGAGAAAATAGATGAAGGAGTTTGTGAATGTCTCGATGTGAGGATACCTTCAGGGTCCACTCTGAAGCCAAACTCATCATACTGGAGTTCAGGCTGTTCTGAGGGTTCTTTCTGTAGAGACAAAAGAGAACATGCAGTTCATTAGTAGATGAAAGAGGAAACGTGACTTTGAAATACCCGTGAAAGCTAGTTTTTGTCTTAATATTCTGTCCCTCTATCAGATGCCTCACAGATTGTTACTTTCATTTCTCCTCTCATTCCAGAATTGTCTTTTTCTCCTTTCAATGTTTTAGTGTCCCTCATTCTTGTGAAGGTTTGCACATTAAACTATAAATAAAGACATATCCTCACTTGATGGTACTTGGCCAAAATATCCTGGGGCCACATGCTCGGAGTGAGAGCAGAGAAGGGCCCACCAGGGGCTGGTGTGTAGGTACCTGAGGGAGAAACAGATTGTTAGATTTAAAAAAAACAACTAGTAATTTCATAGAAAATATTGATAAAACTATAAAGGGCATTTTGAGAATGGCAAAGTATGTAGAAAACTCAAATGAGACGTCACAATATATCCAAAGTAAAGGCAGAGGCATTTATCGTATTGCATTAAAAAAGTACATGTAGAGAAACCCGTCTTCAGATTGAATGTTATTTTGCGCCAAATCGATACAGAAAAACTCTTTACCTGACATGTTGTTGGTAGGAGAGTGAATGGACTCGATTCAAAAAGTCACTCTGGTGAAAGGAGGTCAGCAGATAGCGCTCACTCTGTAGAAAGGACAGAGGAGGAAGAAAATCAAAAAAAAGGTTTGGCGATTCAATTCCAAGGTGATCCCAAACGCTGCCACTGTGAGTCCATCTCAAGTCAAACCATCTTGGATCCAAGCATTGTTCCTTCTTCAGGCTTTACTGAAGCAAGAGATTCTGAAGTTCTGCACAGTAAGTAAGACAGAAAAAGATCAACAGTTCCCATCAGCAAAAAAAGTGGGTTTGCTATCCTGGCTCCAAAATGGTGGAATGAGCTCCTCATTGTCATCAGGACAGCAGATAGCTTACACATCTTCCGGGGGAGACTGAAAACCCATCTCTTTCGACTCCACTTTGAGCAATACAATTACTAACTAAGCACTTATATACTAATAAAGGACTGGCTTATCTAAAGCCAGTTGAGTAGCACTTGAAATGTTTTGTCTCTATGAAACCTGATGTACTTATATGATTCTGTTTTCTTCAAGTTTGTATTTTGTTGGTCGAATGCACTTATTGTAAGTTGCTTTGGATAAAACTGCAGCTAAATATAATGTAATGAAAAGAGAGAAGGAGGGACTTTGTTTTCTCATAGCCATATGACTGCTGTACTAACCAGAGGCTAGTTACTTTACTTAACTCTGTGTGTGTTCTCGACCTATTTTTATACCGGTACAAGTCCTTGGGCAAAGATTAACAACCATTCAGCGACACTAGGGCTGAACGATTTATCGATTTTAAATCAAAATTGCGATTTTAAATGATGCGATTATCAAATGATGCGATTATCAAATCACAAAGCCTACATTTTTATTTTATTTTTTTACATTATTTTTTTTCTTCTTGTGTGTCAGTCATCCACACCAATCAGAAGTGCTGTGCTCCACATGTACCATCCATTGTTAACCAATCAGAAGTGGCCCATGATAGAAGGTGATAGACAGATTGATCCAATCACTTGCCCTTTTCCAAATGGCTTCCAATGGAGCTTTCCCAGATGGTTTGATGAAACAAACCATCTGAGTCAGGTTAGTAATGCTCCATCACATGTTTCTATTACAGGGTGAGTCTTAAACTGAAGCTTGACTTTAAAGCAACCCAACGGAAGTTTCATGTAAGTTTAGTTCTTTCACTCGTAGCTCGGGCTGCGGGGGTGCTAGAGACAGGAGCATGTTGGTAAGACCTTCCTAGCCGGAGGTATGGCCGCATTTTAAAATAAACTTCCGTTGGGTCGCTTAAAAACAAATATCGCAAATCGAATCGCAATATTTGTCAGAAAAATCGCAATTAGATTTTTTCCCAAAATCGTGCAGCCCTAAGTGAGACTACTCATCATTTCATTTTTTCCATTTAGTCAACAGCTTTGCCTTTATGAATCACAACTGTGCAAGTCTTCTTAGATCCCCATTTGATCTAACAAATAAAACACAAGCTCAATTAAATGGATAGAAGTGTCTGTGTCGATGCTCTTTTTTTCCATTTAGAGTTCATCTCAGGCTATTGGTCCACTGGCTATTATATGCTTGAATGACCATTCCATAAAATTCTAGCATCATAGACATTTGCTGCATATGAAGACATTAAAACTGAAAGTGAGAGTCAAAGGAAGCACCTCAAATATACCTGCAATGAATGAGCTTTCTATGAGTTTGAATCGCTATTTCACTACCAATAATTTGATGTATAAGTTCTACGTCAATAAAGCTATTGAGTAAGGGGAGGGGAAGTTGGAGGGTAAAGACATCTTGCTTTCATGTTCATAATCCATATTGCAGTTAGGGGGTTTAAAGGGGACACAATTAAGAAGGTAAGCACTTATAAACCATGCACTAACATACATGGGCAGACATAAGAGCACAACAAGCGTAACCTGCAACGAGGCTCACCAGCATGCAAACACCCTGCATGCCGAAGTGATTCATTCCAGCAGCGGGCTTGCAGCATTTGAGGAGGGATTTAGGACTTAAGAGAGATGAGAAATCAATTTGAGGTTTGGAGGATGGCCAAGTACTTTCGGGCTAGCTCTGTGTGTAGCTCAGGGGAGTTCTGGGACTTTGGAGCGACTCTCTGACAAGAACACAAACCGTTTCAATCACCTGCCAAGAAAACCAACACGACTAAGCCCTTTCCGCACACTGATGCACATATCAACAATAAACTGCAAAATGGTGCTGCAGAGGGAAGCACGAGTTACACATTAAATGATTAGCAGACATATTTCCACACGGGTAGACAATAAGGATTTATTTTTTTGTACTAGTTAATAAATCAATTAGTAAATGAACATAAATAAATCAGCCATTTATTTTGCATCCTTAAATATGGTAATTGTATCAAACTATTTTGTTTACAATATGATGGCTTGTAGCTCAGTGGGTATCAGATGTTACTGTGGTTGAAGTTACCCTCCAAATACTTATCCATAACTTCAAAAATATAGGCTCCAAAATGTATATAAAATTGTTTTCTTCTTATAAATAAGATATTCTATTAAATGTACAATTTAAAATGTTCTCTTTCTCAGTACATCCTTAATCCGTTTTAATAAATAAATGTACAGGTTACATAGCAGAAATGTTCACCAAAAAATGTGATCAGCTGATTTATCATCATCTTCATAAACACATTGAATGTTTAGTATTCATCTAAACTAAACAATCCTGCATTAATGGGGCTCTTGTCAAAAGTCCTATACAAAGAAAGCAGCACTGCCCGATGATTCACAACAATGCCCCCAACGGCCAAATACAAACAATACCAAAGAAAGAGCAACTGCAAACTGAGCCATTGTTAATAAAAATGTATAATCTCATGACGTGAATCTTCCTACAGAATATACGAAACTCCTGGAAACAACAATACAAAATAACAAATGACTAATTAGAGGAAATGTCTTGGTCTATATTAGGATGTTTTACAATTTCACTCTGAACACAACATATTTTCTATTATTGAGGAGCGGCTGTTCTCACCTGTGTTTGCACAGTGGTTAACACCCTGCCGAAAGTAAAACAAAGAGTAACATCCTGCTGAACAGACAGGGCAAGTGTATGTGTTTGTGCGTGCAGCAAAAGTCTCCCTTTTCCTTCAGCAGAGCAGTTTCCTTTTATAAATGAGTTCGTGTCGCCCTGTAGGGCAGCCCCACGACACCCCCTCCCCTTCCCAACACCTCCTCCAGTTATTCCTGAGTAACCACAACAATAGTGAGTCATTTTCCCCTCGTGTGAAAACACCCTCCTACATGACCATGTCTCTTTTTTACATGCAAAATCAAACCAAACCATTAACATGTCAGAGAATTACCAGCTTGTGCCCAACAATAACAAGTGACAGCTCTAAAACAATTTCCTTTTAAACTGAGGTGTCTTTACAGAACCACAGATTATTAATGTTAAGCTTTAAAACATTATATCAAATAAAGCAACAAGTGACTCATCTGGTTTCAGTATTCGGGGTTGATCAAAGAGTAAAGCAGTGCCTGCTATAATGTAACATAAATATATACTTAATTTAAACTAAACCATACACCAAGATGGTATGATGCTAAAAAAAAACTAACGGTTGTTAAATAAAGCCACAAGCGATTCAAAAAATATATAACTCCAGCTGCGAAGGAAGTACTAAGCAAACTCGTATGTAAGTATGTAAACATTATGTCGATATGCTTTAGAAAGCAAAATGTTTAATATTAAACTAGCTGGACGTTACGTCAAACGCTCCCTGCTGACGTCAAAGGCAGTCTATCAAATTAGGAATATTTACATTTTCAATGGCAACACATTTGACCTACTACATTGACATGTATTTGTTATTAAGCCACACAAAACGTGCACTACGACAATAAACAATGTTTATGAATTGATTTAACAACTAACATTCGTCTCAAGGACCAATGTTACATGAATGTATTCACTAAGAGTTGTCAGCTGTTAGCCAAATATGCTACCTTTTGCTTTTAGCTAACAGTTAACGGTACATACAAAGGTGGACAACAGCCTGCTAGCATAGCTTACCGTGACATTATTCCAGTGAAAGCACAATGTTATAGTTTGTGGCCTAGTTTTCTAACGTTAGACAATTGTAAACGCCATATGCTATACCATCATACGCCTCGCATTTGTGATTGCACCTGCTAGCGACGTGTCTCTCCGCTGTATCCTTACACGCTTAACGTTTTCCCCTTCCTATCCTGAAAAGTAGTTCCAGATCCCGGAACTACACTTCAGAAAACGGAAAATATCCTTCCGCAGAGGAATAGATGACGTAGGCACACGACGTCTGTTGTGCCATTCATTCTTTAGTTTCCTCCATCGACGCTGGTTCGCTCGTTATGTCATTCATTCATCACAGCCCCTGCACAAACACCAACCAGGCACAAAAGTAGTACTAATCATAATGTTAGATTGATTGAATCTGCAGCACCTTTGGACATGCTTTTGTTAAACAAAAACCTTGTTATGGAAGTCTGGGCGTTTGAATACGTATGGTGGGTGTCTAGCGTTTTAAAAAAAAAAAAATGGAATGACGTGTTTAACCTTCTGAATAATACATGTTATAAGACGACTGGAAATAACAGGAAGATGTATTAATATATTAATATTTGCTTAATATTGTTGAACGTTTAAGAGAAAGGTCGTTTTCAAGTTTGCTTAAATTCAATTTAGATGAATTGTTATTTGGTCAGTAGTAATTACATTGGCATTATTACTTGTATCGGTTCTAAAATAGATCATGGATAGACATGATCTGTAATATTGAATTGAAAAAGAATGTTGCTTTTGGATAGCCTATAAATTATAGAAGAAGTGGAAAACATGTTTGTAGCATTCATTCATTGTTTGGACAAGATAGTGAAAAGAGATTGTGTTGACTATAAGTATTTTGAAATAATAATAAATAATAATACATTTATTTTGGGGGGCGCCTTTCATAACACCCAAGGACACCTTACAGGACATAGGGGCAATATAGGGAACAATTAAAACAGTAGATTTAGTGAAGTATCGGCCGGGGTAAAACAAGACAAACAACAGGAAATTGACTACAAAAGGACACAAAAGGACACAGGGTACAGATTATAAAGAAAATGCCAGTTTGAACAGGTGGGTTTTGAGTTGGGTTTTGAATTCAAACCAACCTTGAATCTCTTCTTTTAAAAACTGTTAGGCTGATGGTGGAAACATATTGCTTTTACATAATTGCTCCACAAGATGTCACTAGTGTAATACATACATACACAATGTTTTTTTTACATTGGCACATGTTATAGCCTAACCATTAAAAGGAAGACCTTACAGTATGCAATATGTTTTCTAACAGCCCCCCAACAAGCCTCCATGATCCACACACTCACCAACGCTCCCTGAAACACACACATCAGATAAGATATAATAATTGAGTCTGGTGTGCTCCTGTAGTCCCAATTTGCCTTAGGGGACAGTGTTCTGTGTTATCTCATGTTGGTTGGGAGTCAGGCTAAATGGGCATTAAAACCAAATGACCATCTATTCTCCTATCTATGAGGTGATTCATGCGTGACAGGAGCTGGCACTTTGGTGCTGGAGCTTCACATTTTGCACAGTGAGAGACGGCATTTTAATTTCTTCCAAAGAACAAGATTATGTGGCTGTATGTATGTGTGTGTGAGTGTATGAAAAGTAAGCACATGTTGCATGGCCTTCTGACTAAGGAGCCAAAAGACCTTTAAAATGCAAATCACTTAGTATCTCACTCTTTTTTTGCATATGATTACACTTAGTCCCTATCCTTCGTTTTTGCAATCCTCTTTTGTCTCTATTGCCACACACACACATAAAGAACAAAGATGTCCTTTTTTCTAAAATATCTTTCACCTTACTATACCCTGTCCTAAATCTCTTTCACCCTTCTGTATCTGCCCTATGACACATCACTATGACGCCTTTCAGTTCATTCTAACCCTCTTGCATTGCTTGCATATAGTCAGTTTGCTGCACCATGCCGTGAGTCATATGATTACAAATACTGCAGCCTGAAGCCGACCTTGCCCACAGTTTGCTTGCCAAATAGCCCAAATAAGGCATTGACCCAACACATGACTGTAATGTGGTTAATTCCCTTTCTGTCACCTCCATCCCCCTACTCCACCACCTCTAGTTCTCATGTGTCTGGCTGTCTCTGTCCTGTTTGACAGAATGATGGGCAAGCCCTGGATCTTACACTGCGGTTGCTATGACGTCAGGCAGAGGCAGAGAGAGGCGGAGGGAGATGCCAAGGGACGACTGAGGAGACAGACAGAGATCGAGAACCAGAGAGGAGGGGTGGGAGAAAATGTTGTAGAGGGAGGGGAGAGAAATGAAAACATAAAAAAATACGAGTGAAAGATCCAAAGAAGACACAACTACAAAGGTGTGTGTGTGTGTGTGTGTGTGTGTGTGTGTGTGTGTGTGTGTGTGTGTGTGTGTGTGTGTGTTTTGTGTTTCTGCCCCTGCCATTCCCGCACAAGGTTGCAACCTTGTTGATAAATTCAAGCACGGTCTGCTCTCACATTCCCGCATTGTGTTTTGCGGGACCCAATCTTTATATTGTTCACACTCTATCCAAGCTGCAAATTTGGGGCAAGACACAATGAATAAAGCTTTGCCAGTTTGGGTCCTTATCACAACTGATCAAGATGGCCAAAAGATTCTCTGCTCAGAGGGCCTTGCATATGATTCTGGAAGAGAGTGAACCATTTGATGAAGAGGCTTCAGAGGATCACATTTCTGAGAATTCAGAGTCTGACAGTGACTTTGAAGAAGAGGACGAGATTGAGCATCAGCTTAAAAAAAAAGACGAGCCACAGGACCAGCCGGTCAGTGGGCAAAAAAACCAGTAGCACTTGAATTCATTAATGTGATCTAACACATGTAAAAGGGCAAATTTTAACCATGCTGTTTATATTTCTTGTAATTGAGATGAAGTAAACATCTGTTGAGTATCTTTAACATAAAATAGTTTGATTGTGTTGAATTGAAGCCTAAAAAGGCAGCGGGTCCACCAGACCCACGAACACTGGCTGAGTAACAAAAATATTAACACCATAAAAGGGTTAAATGTGTGTTTGTGCCATCATCTGCGCATGTGTGCAAGCATGCAATGATGCGTATGAAAACAGGCTTGTATGCTCACATCTATCAGTGCTGTGTTCATGCGTATTCATATGTGTATGCATGCATACAAATGTGTATGTAATTTGTCATATGCACAGTATGTGCTATGTTTTTCCAGCATGCATAATACAATCAAAATGGGGGCAGGAGACCTGTGAGTCCTCATTCTATTATTTGTAGGAAAACAATTTGAACTAAAATGAAATAGTTGAATGAAACATGATTAAGTCTGTCTCCTTCTGTACATAAATGTTTTGGACACCCTTTAAGCAAAACAGAGTGCACAAGTTAATGCAACCTGCATGATGTGGCCTCTGCCTTTGGGATCATGTATGCATATAAGGCCAGGATAGACTAAACTGGGCTGGGTCTCTTAGGTTGGATCATGGGGCTTCACGCAGCTGTTCCCCCGGTCTCAGAGGATCTCTCCTGTGATGAGGAGGATGGAAGCTAAAGGGCAAGGGCTCTGAGGCTATGTGGTGCAATGGCAAGTGATTTCTCTTGGGTGTTGTGATGGGAGTAGCTGCATTTATGATTCTGCATTGTTAAATCTATACTGTATGTGGGGTAGAGCAAGTCAGGTAATGAAAAGGAAATATGTTTGTCCCTGTGTTGCCAATTTGACATAAAAGAAAATATCTACGTGTGATAAACAGAAATATACATTTTGTTAACTGCTCCTTACTTCTGGGTTATGGAAAAGGAGGTGGAAAATATAAGTGAAGGAAAGGGTACACAAATATTGACAGGAGTCTCATGAGTCCCATGATTCTTTGATGCACAAAAACCTACATGTTCCTTCTCAGGTTGTTTTATCATGTATTAAGGTCAAGTCATTTGGGAAATGATGCAATGAGAATCCAAACACTTTCACTCACTCTGGGGGTTGATGTGATGGAAAAAAGGTGAGTGTGATGGTGAACTTGAAAGGTCGAGAGAGAACAACACAGTGAATGTTGGAATGAAGCAAAGGAAAGCAGAAGAGCTCGATTTACAATGTGAGATTTAAAATTCAAAGCCAAAGAGGGAGAGGGAAAGTAATCAGAATTTGTAGGTGCTATTTTCACTGCAGCACATAAAAGACCTGCATTAATGCATCACTTCAATAAAAAACATTTTGTTTTTCTACTTTAACAAAGTGCTAAAAAAAACTTTAAACACCTGTCTTTTCATAACAGGAAATCTGTAATCTGCTGTATAGTAACATAACTACAATGTGGTATCTATTGCAGCAATCCCTTGATTGCAATTTGTAAAACCTGTAAATGATGTAACCAGTGGTAAAACAAACAGCAGACATTGCAAGCAACATATAGATTTGTTGGCAAAGCCACACTTCATTCTGTCCATCTGCTGTGGCCATTGGTTGGGTGGGAGGCTAGTGATTATTTGTGTTTGTGATGGACAGAGACAAATGGATGTTATGGCTACATAAATCCCTCCAACCTGCCCCCTCCCTTCCTGTATTTATGGCCGTGAATATAATGCTTGTTAACCCTTGAACCCCTTGCTCAGTATGTTACAACGTCGGTTCAGATTAACTCGCAGCTGGCAGATTCTGTATGTCTAAAAATAGTATGATTCACGATCCATTATAAACTAGAAGATTATCCAATCCATGCCATTCTACAGTATGTCAATACTCCAGCAGTACACAAGTGAGAACAGGGGATATGTAGATGTGAAAGACCCTTATAAATCAAATAACTGTGGTATTGTGCAGAATTGTTCAAAAGGTAAGCATTAAAGTTGAGTAAATCAGTGTCAACCCCATGCAGCTCCCTCAGTGTTCCTTAATAATTTTTGAGTTACTTCTAACAAGAACGTATGAGTATTAGGAGTGTTATGGGCTGAAATAGTTATGTGGCGTATCTCCCTGCCAGTCACAGTTGTTTTGGAAGGGGGAGTTTCTAAAGGATCACTGTCAACCTTCCAGCAGAGGATACTATTGTATATTGGCTTTAGGGATTTGTCTTGCACACAGCCCACACATATTGCCCTGTAATGTTGGCATCTTGGGAAACTCAACGTAGCTTTAGTC